AGCATCATTATAGTGAGTAAAACTAACCCAGTTTAGAAAAACTGTGAGGCCAGAGGGATAAAGACAGGGTCCGTCATCTTTACACATGTAGAACAGCATAGCTAGCTATGGTTCCAAGAGGCTCCCACCTCTGCTACAGGTGGGTTCGGTCCGGTAAGCAGCACTGACTGTTGTTGAAAACGTAAAGGCGTGTGGCTGAAAAGTTCAGAGAAACGAAGTTAAAAATATTAAATGCTTAATTGTGCAGCCAACAGAGGATTCAGGACCACAGCGCCCAGTGAGTCCAGTACAAACACCAGTCAAGTTTTATGGTACAAGAAGTTATCAGAAGGAAGCCACTGAGTTTGTTTAGCAGAGTGATGTTGTATAGTTCCATTTTCTGCTCTGGTTTCATCATTAATTCTAATATAAATGAAGGAAGAAAAGAAACTGCCTGTTCTGTATTTACTGCTGTGCAGTTTGAATTCTAATCTCGCACTTTATAGACAAATAACGAGTTAGTGAGGAAAGTGAAAAATAAAATGCACTTTATTAGAAAGCAAATTGAACCACAGTAAACCCATCAGGCACCAACATGGTTGATGAGAGTGAGCTGAAACAATAAACGTGCACTCTGAAACTAAAACAATGAAGGTTACAAAGCTCTTTAAAATTAAGGGGAACTGCAGAGTTGGTGATAAATTCTCAGTGGGGTTGTTATGTCTAGCAACCTCTTTCACATTACACAGTCATTTAAATCTATTGATAATATAACAATATTGATTAGTGCTGCTTTAATGTGGAGTAAATGGAAACAGTTGTGACCAAGATATGTACTGAGAAATTAACAATTAAAATTTAGTGTTCTCTTCTTGACAAAAACAATGTTTTAATGCCATATGTGGACATTGGCTGCCTAAATCAATCCTTGGCATTTATTAGTTGACTGATGCTGAGATGAAGAGTTCCATTAGGATGGGGACTCATATTTGAGCCACAAGCATCACTAAAGGATTTCTTATTTCCAGTCTTTTGTTTTATCATCAGGCCGACTGTCTAGTCTGGCCTCATTACAAACCAGTTTGTGCAGAAAGGCCAAATACATAGTGACTGGCATTGTTCTGTGATGATACAACACTTTAAACCAAGGCTATTTAAAAAAAAAAATGGTACAGCCCTGTCCCTGTTTGAAAGCTTCTGTGACCAGAGGCCACAGAGAGGCCATTTTCTGTTACAGGTCAATACTTACACTGTCTCTCAGATACTCCTTCAGATTTTTCAGCGTGACCTACTGAACCTGAGCCGAGATGCTGCACTGACTTCTTCACATTTATTTTATCTTGTCTGTTATAAAGTTTCAGGATTTGTCTCTCTCATTTTAACTGATAATCAACCTGCCTGTCACTTAAAATCTTTTAGGACTGAAAGACGTTGCGTTACTTTTCAGGGTTTTCTCGATGGTGAGTTTGGACTGTATTCATACAGTGTTTATCACCAAAGTGGTGCTGTTATGGAGGTGCTACCATTAAAAACATGACAGACATGCATGGTTCCCCCAGAAACCTGTCTACTAAATGTGTTAAGCCAGATCTAGTCTCTGGATCAGCGTGGGTTCATTTTTAATGTGGCCCAAACAGTAACCAGCCTCTTTCAGTATATAATGCTTTTACAATGTGAAATAACATCTTGATTCAATTTCCTGGAAGGTTAACATTTTATATAATGTGTATTATTTAGATTCCCCCCTCCCCCCCTCAGTTAACCAGATGTTACGTTAATGGAATATTTTCTGTCATTGAAAGAATTTTTAATAATGTCAGAAAAATCAAGAGGCTGTCTGTCATTTTGATAAATTAGAACAGAGGACGATCTACACTCATTGAAAGGTAGGCTAATAAAAGCCCAATAATTGCTTTGGTGTTGATCAGTGAGGTGAAAAAGAGAAACTGATGTGGTGGATGAAGGACAACTGATACCGTACTCAACACATTTCACTATTGGGAACTACCAGCATGTTGAAGAGCAACAGACTGGAGGCCACAGAGCACTTCTGTGACGGCTGTGGTGCAGCAGAAGCGCATGTAGAGGATTCCTTCTGGTGAAGTTAGTTCTTCAGGATCAGGAAGTTCCAAGTCCAGAGCAACATCTAATCACTTCCCAAGAGAAATGTTCCCCGACTTGAACTTTGGCTAAAGTAGAGCTGGTGGTCCAAATTATAAGGTCTTTGACAAACCTAACTTTGTGTAAACAGGTTGTTCATATTTTAATGCTAATTCTCTAATTTTGTAAAATTGCACTGTTGACATTTGCTTTTTTTTTATGCACCATGGCTGCAATGTTTGTAGTGGTTTTGGTTGTCACTGCCGAAAAAATTTGTTTTATGTGGTTATGAAAAAACATAGAAGAAAATTTAGAATTTGAAAAATTAGAGTTGATTTGAAAATATTCCATTAATGTTACCTCTGATTTCACTGAGGGGAAAAAAGATCTAAATAATACACTATATGAATTGAAGAAAATGAGAATTTGCACAGACATGTTTCATGTGGTGTTGACATGAAAAGTGGCCGCACATAAGCTTGTTAAATGTAATAATTTAAAAAGGAAATAAAAATTATATGCTGGTAAATGTCTTATCATTAAACAAAGAGGCACGTCCATATAACGGATATGGGCATGCATATTAAGTTTTTTAAATGTACTGAGCAGTACATATCTCACATTTTAACAAGAGTATTGAGCTCAAAAGCCAGTATCTGTAAAGCTCTTTGTGAAATGTGTCGTTCAATGTAGCTACACTGAAAATATCTCAGCATGACATTAAGTCTGCCCAGCTATTCGTGAAAATAAGAAAAATAGACCAACACGTGACTGAGTGTGAATTATTCTTCCCATTTTTGGCTGGTTCAGCTCATCTCTTTCTCCACATCGCTTTATGTAAAGGTATGGTGGTGAATGAACTCTTTCAGCTGGGTGCAATTGAACCTGACCCACTTGCACAATTAACTCTGACCCACAATATTTGCTCAGTGGTATAGGGTTTTGGATGGCTTGACTCCAGCGGTGAGGTCGACCTCAGCAAAGTCAGCCGAGCCATCAATCCTTGCTGCACCCTGAAGGGGTGGAGCTCCAAAATGAAACGGGAGAGCACAATATTAACCAGAGATGCCAAGACATGGTCAGCACTGAGGATGACGAGGGGTGTCGCCAAGGTTTCCATTATCTCGGGGAGCCAAGCTGTCATGCTTAGGAAACCATGACACTTGTACTTTATTTTATTTTTTTCTTTTAAATTAATTTTTGGTTCTACACTGGTGGACTGCCATCTCAGAAGTGGGTTGGACACCAAATACTTCCAAGTTCCAAAACTGCCACTAAAATTAGAAATAACTGTTCAAGTAAACAATTCAGTTAATTTTGTTAACTGATCTGATCAATCATATAATTGTTTCAGGCATAAACAGAAATAAAAAGATAAATTAATAGAGGCTGAGTTATTCTAACTTTTACTCTACATTTTAAGAAAGCTGTGTGTGTGTGTGTGTGTGTGTGTGTGTGTGTGGTATTTGGCAGGGCAGAGCCTTTGATTTGACAGTGGGTCACACAGAGGTGCACAGGTAATATGAGGAGCTAGAGGTGAACTGTCATGTGTTTCAAACTTTACGCCCTCAGGTTTTAATGCATATTTTCTCTCAAAAATGTCTCCACCCCAATGTGAAACGCCAATGACATCATCGGGGTTATTTTGGCATACTTGACAAAGCTCCTCCAGAGCCACAGAAGAGCCCTCTAAGAATTAACTTAAATAATACTTTCTTTAAAATTATGAGTCAACTAAACATATAACCAGAATAATAAAGGACCATCTCCCGAGACAAGAACTAGCAGTCCTGCAACAGATGGTGTGACCCCCACAGAGCCCTGAGCTCAACGTCATGGAAACAGCCTAAATCCACATAAGAACTGTGGCAAGTTCTCCAAGATGCTGGACTAGCAAAATACAACTGTAAGCAGGTGAACTGGTGCTGTTTTCAAAGACTTTACCTGTGCAAAATTAAATAAAAGACCTCGTGCAATGCAGTGTATTTTCAGGAGGCCCTATTATACTGGAAAAAAAGAGAATAATAAGAAGAAGGGTTTGGTTTGAAACTATTTTTCTTTTTCCCCACTGGAAGGAACTTGTCAGAAGATTCCTGAGTAATCCTCCCTCTTCCCTCTGGTTGCTACACACTTGTCACATTATCTGTTCATACAGTCCACCGTGATAATAATGGACGAAGCAACACAGATTTGCTATTGCTGATGCAGTTGTTGCTCCCTTCTACATTCAGATGCCACGTTTGCACTAACTTAACGTGATCTAAAAATGAGCTAAAGCTAAGCAAAGACCTACTATTATATGTCCTTCCAGTAAACACACTCAGCTGTCCACATGCTGTACATGAACTTAATTGGTACTTGTTCTGCAGAGTCCACAGGGATCGATGCTGACAAACACACACCTCCAGGGAGGAACACCTGAGCTCGTGTACAGTTTGTTTGTCTTGAAACGCCCATGGGGGGGTCCTTCACCTTGTCATCTGCTGGCTGGATTCATGAGTTTTAAAGGCCCCGATTCTAATTTAACCCACTTTTTTTTTTCTGTATTGATACAACGGCACAGGTGATGGAAATAGGAATTAATGAGATCTCATGAGAATGGAGCTGCACGTTTATTAGCTCAGTACATTCACTGACAGTGAAAGACTTTCAGAAGCAAAGGCAGCAGTCACATATGTTTCAGGTACTGTGCCACTCGGTTTTAGTGTCCCCATGTGTGAGAGAATGTGATGAATATAATAATAGCGTTTGGACTTATGAGAACACCTGTCTCCTAGCAGCCACTGCTACTGCTACACTTGACAGTGACTGGCAGCTGTTTTGCGTTTTACAGACCAAAATGAATGGGTTTTTTTTTCCAGTCACCTTGTGTTGAAGGTCATTGGCCTCTTTAATAGCAACTTTTTTTGTTTTCGTTTCAGTGTGCAAGGATCCACCATATAAAGTGGAGGAGTCTGGATACGCAGGTTTCATCTTGCCTATCGAAGTTTACTTCAAAAACAAGGTACATTGAACAATGTTTCTCACCAGCAAACTGTTTTATATTAAATGATAAGGCCCCTGATTTGATGATGTTATTTTCCACAAATCCACTACAGAGACTAAAACCCAAATGTCTGTGAATCCAGAACCCGGTTTAGCTTGTTTCCGTGCAGCAATTCCAATTGCAGGTTAATAAAGTACTCCATCGATTCTATCTTTCCCTTGACTTATCCTGAAATTATCTAGACATTAACCGGAGGAGATGTGTGTGAGAACACAAATGTCTGAGTCAGCCAGTTCCCTGGTACAAAGCCTGTGTAATGTCCAAATGAGCCCGTGTGAGAATACGGTAGCTTATAGTCAGAAGTATTTGCACTGAGCTAGTGGGCGTGTTAATGACGTTCTATCATGTTACAAGTACGAAACTGAATAAAATACAAACATCAGATGGTGAAGAAGAAGAACAGCCATTTACAATCAAGACACAACTCGATTCTGGAACTTCTGTCATTATACAGTGTTTCTGGCTTATGGATAGTTGCTAAACTGAAAACCTGTTGGCATGCATGATAAATGATGTGGTGCAGATAATGTTGTGGGGTATACAGTAAGTTTTAATAGGTGCACCAAGCTAGTCAGACCAATGCAACCTGTAGTAATCCTCCCTCACGCAGATAATGTACCATTTATGTGCAAACTGTTTGGCATGTGGTGAGTCAACTGATCAGTTTGGAGGTTGCAGTTTGTACTGCATTTTTAGCCTAGCATCACTGATGTAAATAGACTGTACAAAATAATTGAAATGCCCTATAGCAATGCAATTCAGTCACCTTTATTGAGGAGGATTATTACAGGACTGTTGGGTTATACTGACTCAGTTCTAGCTTGGTGTCCCTATTAACGGAGAGCTGGGTGTATTGTGATATATGTTGTGAATTGTGACAGCACTGGTAAAGCTTGGAGGCACATGTATTTGTTTTTCACTCTGTTTCCAGATTTGATTTTATATGTATTCATTTTCTATATTTTTCTGCAGGTTCACAGAATTCAACCATGCAAAAGTTAGATGGTCTGTAGCAGTATTAATAAAACCTTATTATTATTGTTATTAATAATATAATAAGCAGTAAATAATAAAAATGTAACATTATTAGTGAACACACTGGGTACAATTCAGAAGGAGAAAATGTTTTTGGTATGGACATATTACGCTGGAAAAGTTAGGACTTGAAACTTGACTAAAAACCTCCACTTCAGAGAGGGTTCTGACTTTTTATGACTTTTAAACACCTGCTGCCTACTTCACAACATACTGTACGATAGTGGTTCTTAACCTGGTGCATTCTCTTATCTTAAACTGGCTGTTGCGACATTTCTTCTGAACAGAGAGTGGTGGTAGACAAGCTGGTTGCTCTCAGTCTCCAAGTCCACAGGAAATTTCATGTATATAATTACATACATATACATATAATAGACTTGACCATGACCACATAATATTAGTGTTTTGGTTTTCTTCTCGTTTACAATTCGCTACAACTAGCATAGCGATCACCATGTGGGTTTAGTGTTTGAAGAGGAGGCCAGTTGAGCTGAGGTTTATTGTTTGAAGAGGAGGCCAGTTGAGCTGACTGCAGGAGAGTGAAGATGTATTTCTGCACGTTTGTGTCATGCTTGTTTAGATCATTTATTCATGTTCTCTGCATTACTAGCAGATTTTTGTTGCATTGTCGCACAAGTAAAACACAGCCTTGTGTGTACTCTGCTGTGTGTGTATTGTCCTGCAATGGTATTGGTGTATTGGTATCTGACAAATTTTACAACTTTTTATGAGCTCTAGATGTGAATAATATACCCGATTCTGGTATGTGTTATGGTGCACCCCTAATTCTGGAGAACCAGATGTTTTTGGGCTCATGGAACAACATGATAGTTTGTATCAGAATGCAGCCTTCAAGTGTACTTGAGTTAATGAAAGAGCATGTTGTTGGTAAAACCTGACTTAACTCCTCCATGATTGTTCTCCTCTTTCCTCCATTGGGTGGATCACCACTTTTCCTCAGGAAGAACCGAAGAAAGTTCGCTTTGACTACGACCTGTTCCTCCACCTGGAGGGCCACCCACCTGTCAATCATCTCCGCTGTGAGAAGCTCACCTTCAACAACCCAACAGAAGAATTTCGTAGGAAGCTACTGAAAGCCGGAGGGGTAGGAGTGTGAGGGGGAGGCTGGGCCTTGAGTGACACATTTAAATGCAAAACAGACTTTTCCTTCTACTACAGTGGGACAACTTTCATCTCTGGTTTTCTATCATCTCTGTTTTTCCAGGGAAAGTCGGTACAGTGCCTTATTTGCAGAAACACTCTTACACACTGTCATAGTGTCACACATTTAAATAGGTCTGCACAATCACCCTATTGTTCTTCAGCCACAAGGAACTCCTCACTAGATCTGCTGTCTTAAATGGGTGGTCACAGAACAACGTGTTAGTCCATCTTTCAGCTAACAAATGTATAGCTTCATTAAAAGAAGACTCAGTAACTTCCTAAAACAGTTGGCCACTGTAGTATTTTTTTATTTTTATCAAATGTTACTCAAACAGGAGGAGGTAGTGCATTTGTTGGGGACTGTTTTCAGTGGCCACATTTGGCACTCCAGTGAGTATTTTTGGCAGGTGTGTGTGTGAGATCATGATAATGAAGATACATGTTGCCCAGTGTAAAAGTGTGGCTAAGTGAATTTTTTAAACAATTTTCATCCAACAGACTTTTTAGTTAATCATTCTCTTTTAACTCTTGGGTACAGCAGCTGTTGTTCAGAAGAGAAACCACCACTGTTATCTGCTCTCCTGCTTTGAATAAGCTGCTTTTTTGTTTGGCCAGTGTTGTCTGAGCTCTTTGTAAAGTTTCTCATCATTTTATGTGAGAATTGTTTTAAACATTATACAGTGTGTTTAAAAATGCAGATGCCAGTGATTGTCTTGTTGTTTTATAAAACCTGCACAGTGCAGAATGAATAAATTTAGCAGCACATCAGCTGATCTCATCACTAAAGCTCTCTGTAGTTGTTACAACTGTGATAAATGGGCATCAGTTTACCTTTAGTTGCTTCCTCAGTGTTGGGTGCAATCAGTCACTTGGCCCCTGGCCAGCAGACCCCTGTAGCAGGGAGGTTTTATGACTGGAGCTAAGTGCTTTCTATTTACTTTGCCCTGCACCCCTTCTTAGCCTTTGAAAAAGGGCTCAAGTTCTGATACAGACCATGTCTTAACTCATGTTCCCTGTTGTAAGGAGTATCTTACAATTGAAAGGTCTATGGTCTCGGTAGATTACACTGAAGAGTGACTTTACCACACACAATTTCTCAGATGTGGAAAGTGGGTATGAGGCTGAGCTAAATTTCTTGTGGAATAAAGCTGAGATTGATAATTGTTTCTTTTGTCATCTTTCACAGCAACGGGATCCTAATAAACGAAGTTCAGAAGACTCAAAAGTAAGCTTTCAGTCATCCTTTTGGATTCATGAATGCCTAGAGTTACGGATGTCTAAAGATGACTTACAGTTTTGGACACCTCTAAAAGATGGCTGTTCATATAATTATATCGGTGCTTTTACCTTGACTGGAACATTTATTGTCATGTATCTTAACCCAGACGCACTGAAGCAGTTGTGCTTTTTGTTCATAGTTAGTTTTTTTAAAAAGTTTAGATTGATTACACTAGGTTTAATTTGAGTGATCTCAGTGCAATTTAAACAAATGTTGAAAAATCTCTATGCTGTTGAATTTGCAGTTTATGCAGGTGCATTTAAAGAAATATTTAAGCAATTTGAGAAATTTCTTTTCTCTCCATGAGTGTGAAGAGAAGATCAGTATTAGTGTCATGTTTAAGTGCAATGGTGGAGTCATGGTGTGGTCAGTCTAGTTTAGCATTATGACTGGAAGTAGGAGAAAACGGCTAGCATGTCTGTGCAAAATAAAATATACCAGTACCTCTAAAGCCCCTTTTCAATTGCCTGGTACTGGCTCAACTCTAGTCGCTTTTGGTACCGGGTGTGTGGTTTCCACATTACACTGCTGTGATGTCATCAGCAACCTACACAGTAACAATGCAGGACGTCGAAGGTATGATATTCTTGAGTCTCAGTATGTGACTCTTTAAAATGGCACCTTCTTTGTTCCAAGACGTGTCTTATGTTGGTGATGCAATTTCTCTGACCAGTCGCTAGTTTGCAGTGTTTACACGTCACCGTTTGGTATCACATCTGCTCACATGGAATCTCGACCGAGGTTATACCATAAGGTACTATCCCCAACACTGAACTAATGGAACCACAAATCATAAATAAGGCGAGTAGAGTTGAGCCAGTACCAGGTGGTGAAAAAGGGGCTTTATTAACAACACCTTGTCTTTTTTGTTTAATCCATACTAAAATTGTAAAAGGACAAAATTACAAAAATAGACAATATGGTGTTGAATCTTATTGTCAGTAAGAAATATTTAGTTTAGTTTCTATATGTGAAAAGGTTTGGACAGCTTTTGAACTTTATAACTGAAAACTGAATAAAATGAAAGAAGAAGCCTCTGATCCCTTTGTTTTGTTGCCGTTTCTGGCAGGTGATGGTAATGCAGGAGGGCTCAACCTCCCTGTTCGGCCAGCACCTGAAGCTGCCCACACTTCCCAACACTTCACTGACATCAAACTTCTCTGACCCGAAGAAGAGCAAAAACTTCCATGGGTCAAAGGTCAGTGTTGTTTGCAGGTACAGCCAGGAGCTGAACAACTTGTCACTAGTTGCCACTATTCAACTCCACCCACCTCTGAGATGTTTTAACTCATCAAGTTCTGTAGGCCCAAATCTCCCACATTTTTGCCATATTCAAATGATTTTTTTTATTTATATTTGAGATTTAAAAGTAATCCTATTTATGTTTAAGCAAACTTTCTTGACTGCTGCTCAGCCAGACTTGCCACTGACTCTAACACAACCTTTGAATTAGAATATGCCCTTGTTTTGCTCTAATTTTTAAAGTGACATTCTAATATGCAGAGAAGTTTTAGACTGTATGTGTTCAATAATTTTGCGCAACATTAAACAGGAAAGTGAGAGTGTGTAAATGATGGGCCTAGAAGCTGCAATGTTGCGCAAAATTATTGAACACTTAAACAGGAAAATGAGATTGTGTAAATGATGGGCCTAGAAGCTGCATGTGAGATTTGAGGCATTATCATATGCATTACTTAAATCATATATGTCAGTGAAAAGGTATTTTATTTTTACATAGGGATGTACCAGTATTGGGTCCGATACTCCAGGTTGTTAGGTGGTGCAGGAGAAATTTTAGCGGGTTGACATATTTTAAGATAAGTGACAATGACAAAAAGCTGAGCTGTGAGCTCTGATTCTCTGTATGGGGAGGGAGGGGCACTCACAGATGATGAGGGAGATGATGATGCTCAGTTTGTGCAACAAACCCTGCCAGTAATGAAGAGCGTTCAAGTAGTTTATTAAGCGCCTGTTGCACAAGCAGGGAAAGAAACTTGCAGAAATGTGGTGTTTTCACTCTCCCCCATCAACTCACCTGGTTTCCTGTTCACCCACTAAACCCATACAGTGTTCGTTAAGCTGATTGTGGTCAATTGTTGTGAGTGAGAAGGAAACAAATGCTAAGTTTACATAGTTGATTAACATTGGAATCTGTTGAGCTCTACGTATAAAAACGTAAGATTTTGTGGACTTTGAAGAAACGGCTCCTGTACAGCAGTGGAGGAATGTGTCCAGCAGAGAGGCTGCAGTTCTCAGCCTGCACACTTTTTTTTTTTTTTTTTTTTTTTTTTTAACTGCTGGTTTTAATTTTATGCGTCCCTCTGGCATTCTGGTGGGATCGCAAAATAATTTAATCCTCAAAGATTTCACACTTCTAAAAAAATTAAAAACCACTGTATTTCACTATGTTGTGTAATAGGTTACAGAAATGTAGCCAGCTACACATTTAATTGGAGTGGTGTCAGTGTTTGTTACTAAAGAAAGTTTTAAATTAAACACACAAGTTTTAAGGGAAATCTCAAGAAGTACTCAATTGTAAGTGCATGTACTGGAAAACCCAAAGTGGTATCAGTGCACCCCTCCTTTTACATGGTGTCATTTAAAAGCCTGGTTAGAAGAGGCCCAGTTCACATGGAAGCAGTTTCCAGCCTAAATACTGTGCGTGTGTGTGTGTGTGAGAGAGATAAATTACTCGTGGAGCAGGAGGCCACATACACACTGTGTGTGTGTGTGTGTGTGTGTGTGTGTCCCATTCTCTCATCTCATGTTGAGAATTATTGCTGTGGTATTAGGACACACAGTTTGACAAATGATCCTAAATACTATAGTTTTACCCAATTAGTCTTATTATTATACTACCACGTGAAATATTTATAGTAAAAACAGTGTGTTGTAGACAAGTTAAGGCTTTATTGATACCCAGGGGTGAAATCGATGTGTTAGAGCAGCACTATAGAGGTTTAGACAGGGTAAAAAAAAAAGTGGGGGAAAGCATTAAACATATAAGAATGAAATACAGTACCAGTCATAAGTTTGGACAAATCTTCTCATTCAGTGTTTGTTTTGTTTTTTTTTTTTAACATTTATATATTTCTTTTATTTAACATGGAATTATGTAATAAGCAAAAAAAAAAACAAAAACAGAAGGTTTCATATTTTAGGTTCCAGGTAGCAGCAGTGCTGTTTGTAACATGCGATTGGTACTGTATATAAAATGGAATGGCATTCAGGAGCTACATAGCATACAGAAAGGCTTCCTATCTAGTCTGACGGAGCTTCAGAGGATTTACCAGAATGAACGGGATAAACTGCCCGATTCTAGATGTGCAAAGACTCAAAGCTGTAATTGCTGACAAAAGGGATTCTGAATTAAGAATGTCAATACTTTTGTAAATGAGAAATGATAGTTTTTGGTTTTTAACAAATGTGCAAAGAATTTCAAAAAATTAAGTTTTCACTTTGTCATTATGAATTATCGAGTGTAGATTGGACAAAAATGGCAGTTATATCAATTTAAAATTAAATCTACAGTGCAAAGTGTCCAGGAATCGAAGGAGTCTGAACACTGACCCCACAATTTTAATACTACGACTGCTAATTGTATTAATAATAATGAAATATAAATGGTATATTGGTAGTGATGCATTCTGTTTAAAAAAGTATTCATTAGCTGTTTGTTCTGCTCTCATGTATTATTATTATTGTTATTATTATACGGCCCTTCAAAAATTCACGACACTGTCACCTGCCAGTGTCATGTTGTTTAAAGGTTTGTTCCAAAGTGCTCCTTTAGTGATGTCTCCAACACTGACGGCTGCAGACGCACTGTGTGTCCTCCTAAGCCTAAGCACGAAACCAGTTTTGTGTTGTGCTGCCCTGCAAGGGAAATGGGTTTACTGCATTGGAGGAGCAGCCTGGAGTTTAGAATGAGCCTGCAACTCTATATCCTGAGGTCCCAGGGTCACCAGCAGATAGACAAAATGAAAGGGTTAGAGGTGGTTGGGCAGAGTTCTAACACACCCCATCGTCTAGACTGCTTTAATGGGTTTACTGCATTGATGAAATATTGACAAGGGGGCTGGAGGTGAGGCCCAGGGACAAATGGCCCCCGTCGTTAGAACGAATGCATTTCCTCCTTTCTCCACATTGCCCGTCGCTCCACTTTTAAAGTTGTGCATGTGTGGCTGTTGAAAAGGCCCCTTCACCCCACTGAACACTGCTCAAAAGAAGTCCTGAGTTTGCTCTTTAAACCCATAGGTGGGGACTAAGACAACCCTTTTGATTTTCTTTTAAGAATGGACCTCTTTTCACAGATGGTAATGCCAAACTGCAGGGTGGCATGCATGTTTTCTCTTGTGTAAAAGGCAGAGGATTAATCTTCCTTTGACCTAGCTGCCTGGTTTTTTGCTCACTTTGTTGTTTGGGACGATGCATTTTGGAAGTAATACATGTAGTGTGAAGTGCTGTTTAACACAACACAAACAGCAAGAGGGACACCATAATCACATTTTCCTGCTGTAAAGTAGGGTTCAAACACTGCTTGGAACATTTTTTTCAGCGGCATTTCGCATGCCCTGTATCAGTTACCACAGCGATACAAGCTCATATTATCCTCAGACAACAGTATTTCTCAGTGGCTAACATGCCGTGGACCTATTATGTTCACTCATTGATCTAACATGAGATTTCTCTCTTCCTTGTGCCTTCCTTGTCCTTTCATCAGATATTTTAGATTATTCTGTGTAATCCTGGGGCAGCATGGTAGTGCAGTGGTTAGTGCTGTCACCTCACAGCAAGAAGGTTCTGGGTTTGAGCCCGGGCCGACCTGGGGTCTTTGTCTGGAGTTTGCATGTTCTCTCTGTGCCTGCATGGCCTATTGCTTGGTGAGTTCTTTGCTTTTTCTTTTTTTACAATGTGCTATGCAGGATCTAATTTATTTGTTGGCATTATTTAACAGGATGGCTCCAAAGGAAGTGGAACTACCCTTCTCACCACCGCCACAACCACCAGCACCAACAGCAGCAGCTTTTCCAAACTCCACAAACCCTCCAAGGACCACAAAGATAAGCCTCCAAAAGACTTGAAAGAGCCCAAAAGTGCCTTCAGAGACTCTGGCTGGGAACCCAGCAAAGCCCCCAAAGAACCCTCCAGGAAACCCAAAGAGAACCAGCCACTTAGAGATAACAATCCCAAGATGGGTTTCAAGGAACCTAGGTCTTTGTCCAAGGAGCATCGGACTGAGGGGATGACGCACGGGTCAGGGCTAAATAAGCGTCTGTCCACCCCCGACGGTGATGACCATGTGGCCAAAAAACGTAAAAAGGGATTTGCGGATGCGGGCAAGCAGACATCTGGGGCAGACTGTCAGCATTCAGATAAGAAACTAGTGAAGGATAGGTTACAAATGCGAACAAGTAAATCACGACCAGAAGGTGATGAAGCTGAGCGCAGGAAGTTCTTAACACTTCCTCCATTCCAGGAACCGGTGGACCCCAATGACTCAGATATAGAGGACCAGTCCACCAAATCAGATGTAAGTTGAACAGTTTTTGTTTTTTTTGTCATTTTGTCATCAAAACTAAAAGCAGAGAATTCTTGGTAAGACTAAAGCCATTACTTTTATTGGTGATACATTTACATGAAGGCAGCATCTTTTTTTCATGAAGGTTTAAGAAGTAGCTGCCTGGCACTTATAAGTCCACCATATTGGGATTACTGAGTTTAAGTTTTAAGGACACTTGATAGGAAAAGAGTTGAAGGGGATGGTTAGTGGAGAAGTATCCAATTCTTCCAGGAGTTTAAGGGTGAGGATTTGTTGGGTGGTCAGTCCTTCCTCGGTGTCAAAGGGCTATAAAATCAAATGACAGAGAGAGAATCTTTTTTTAATGGTGGTCTGGTGAGCTCCAGGGGGGCCGAACGGACAAGAAGAGGTGGGCAGCAATAAAAACCTCGTGGGGGTTCAGTTGCCTTTATCTGGGTGGCCAAACAGGAAGTGGACACAATGTTTCATTCAGGAGCAAGATATGGTTGCAAGATGTGAGTTTGTTCCCTGATTGACAGCAAATGATTGATTGTGTACACTTGCTATATGTTTCTATTGGAAATATTTGAATATGGATATAAAGTGTGGTGACATTTAAACTTAAATATATTCTTTCCTATCTCCATCTTAAAAGCAGGATTAGAAAAATGACATCTCTAGCAGTTCTTATCATGAATAGGCTGACATTCAGCAGGGTTGCCTGGTCTACGCATGCTTGGTGGAGGCCCTCCCCATAAAGAAGGACTGTTTTAAAGCCAAATAGTAGACAAGAAAGATTTATGGTTTTACAACACCTGATGAGAAAAGGGAGACAGCAGTGAATAGCACAGCCTTCCCATTTAATCCTTTTAGCTTTTGAAAGAAGAAAAATGCTGAGTGTTTGTGGAGGAAAGGTCTAAATCCCTGTGCTTTGAGCAGTTTTTGTCTGTGCACTGTTGTTTTTCATTTCTATTCTCTAATGCTTGTATAAAGCTCGAGTCTTTATGTATCTTTCTCTGTGGGGGGCAGCTTGTTTAGGTAGGGGAGTTATTACTTGGCACTAGCAGAACGTGAGTTTTTGTCTGCGCTTTCTGGAAATGCCTTTTAAGTTTTCCCATACAAGGACCAGGGGTCGGGTTGATTGTAAAGGGGATGTGGGGTGACAAATACCAGGTGTTTGATTCTCCCCAGGCTAGCAGCCCCGGTGGCTGAGCGCCGGGACTGGCAGAGCCCTGCTCTCATTTCTCATGTGACCGCTTGTTTGATCTCACTGTTTTTCACTGAGCGCTGGGGCAGAAATGGCAGAGAAGAGGAAATGTGGACTGGGTGGTGACAGGAAGGGAAAGCTGGCTGTTGTGTTAGCATGAAAATATTGTTTTTAGCACACTAGATATGGACACAGACTGAGTGATTTGTCACTGGCACAAGCTTGTTTAAACATAAGTCACATAGATGTTTGAATTCTAAGAACTAATGATTGATAACTATTGTTGGCAACACTGAGTACAAAAATTTATGTTGTGGAAATATTTCATTCAGTTAACAATACAGTGCCAGCTTTATCATAATGAAGACAGAGCTTGTTTGTTTAAAAGAAATTATTAAAAATCAACAGCTCTTTTGGAGACTGAAAGTAGTGCATACCAAACAATGTGATTAATTTTGAAAATCTCACCATAAACATGGAACATATCAAGAGCGAATTTCTCTACCTGTCACTAAACCTCCTGAAAGATAGAACAATATAGCAAAATATAACCTACCAGTGAGATTAAACTTCAGATGATCTACCCAGTGGCTGAGAAAATCCCATTACTTGGTGAACTGCAAAAATGTCCATTTGTGTTGCAAACCAGAACATGTCAGTATAAGTGGCTTGATAGAATCTGCACTGTCGGACTGAAAGGCTTCTTAACTCACATTGAAAGAGTTTTGTTTGGACAGCCCCTGCTAGATTAGACAAGAGAACCAAGTAGTCTCAGTCAGTTTATTCTTGTTTGCTGCCATTTTGTTTTCACTGTCCCAACTCAGCAAAGAGTTAAGAGAAGATCCCTGATTGATTCCAGTAAACTGTAGCTAAGGAGTATTTATTGTCTTTGAAGTGGTCTGCTTTGGTGGTTTTGAGAGAAACAAGACAAAGGCCCTAAAAAGGAGTGGTGCTCAGATTTATGGCACTCTGAAGAAGCTGTCCCATAAACCAACAGACCAGCTGTGTGTTGTTTGTTGGCAGGAGGTGACAACCATTGAAGTCGCTCAGCCTTTTGTCCCCACTTCTCTTTTCCCCTCCTGCGACTTCTGGAGGTCTCTTCTCTCCACTTTGTTTTCGTGGGCAGCTCAGGTTTGCAGTAGCAGACTCCTTTTCATGAATTTGGGTTTGTATAACAAGATCTGAACGCATTTCGTGCTCCTTTCAATGATGCAGTTTAAACCCACTTTTACTGTTGTTGATTCAATTGTGTAACCTCCTCCTGAGGTTAGATGCTACTTGGTGAACAGGAGTTTCTGTTACAGATAGCGTTGTGCACTCACTGGGTGCTGCATTGTGCCCTTGTTGTTAGGTTCAGTCCACATTATTTTATCAAAGATGAAAAAAATATTTGAATTAATTTGCAGTTGTATGGGATAAGATCACAATTTTAAAGTGAATAGATTTTTTTTCTCCTGACTGACACATAAGCAGCATTTACAAAAAGATCTGATGAACTGAACATAAGCAAACTGAAAGGTTGTTCACTATCTTGATAAAACAAAGAGGAACACTGTGATTAATGCTATAGTGTAGCTCATATAAAGCTACAACACTTAGCTGTCTTTCTTTTGCTTTCAAAATTTTTGGGCAAACTACACAATCACCATGTCCAATAATGCCATCTTGTTACGCCAAACTATAATGTTTACAACTTGCTGGAAAAGCAGGGAATTGCTTTCAGTATCATGGGTCTTAAGTGCTGTCAAAGTCCAAATAATCCCATCTGAGTATTTGGATGTGTTTGTTTCATCTGCAGCCTAGTCTGCTTGTGCAAGCTCTCTCTTCCCCTGAGCACTGACACTGCATCTTTGTTGCAATTTATGAGCTGTGCACACATCTAAAAGCCTTGTTTGAAGCTGATGAGGAGTGATAAATGACTGAGTCAGTGTGATCAGAATTGGCCAGTGGAGAAAAGACTATAAAACCTCTGGCACTAAAGTTAATTTTGTGTTCTGAGGGAATTTTACACCTCTAAATGCTATAAATTATGAAGAAAAAAAACACGTGGGTTTTCTAGCAAACCACCATGATGGATACTTTAATATTTTTGTGATACACCAAGTCTGCTTATGACACACAATATTGACTCCTGTCACAGGTTAATCAAACACTCTGACAGTACATACATCACGTTTAGAAAAGTTCACTTTAGCAAATTGCACATCCAGGCATGTTAGTGAGGAAGTTTAATGACATCCATGAACCAAAGAACAAGAAGGGGAAAAAATAATGAATGAAAAATAAATGAAAATGTATCGCTGCAGTTTACTGCCTGCTGTTTTTATTGCTGTAGTGTGCGATATGCAAGCACATAGGCCAAGGAAGTCGACCTTTTTCACAGCTTTTCCCTCTTTACACAATTTCCTACAACTGACAAGCAGCGTGACAGAAATAGTGTGTTTCTCGCTGTTCCCTGTTGTTGGAACACACGTTAACGTTGTGTAGTGTTATTTCCTCAGAATGAATCAGGTTGGAAGATTTGCTGAGGTTGTTAAAGGAGGTGTGTGTGTCTGATCAGAAGAGGAGGTGACAGTAGGAGGTTTTCTTGCTGTGCAGTGTTCTCCAGCAGGTCACATTTGCACTTGATCAGTTTTGTTTCCAGTATATTAAAGCTTTAAAAAAAAAAAACACCCTCAAGAGTATCCCACTAAATGATTTATAAGAATCAGTCCTATATTAAAATCTGTTTTTTTTTTTCTTGGTGTCTGGCAAATTGACCACAAGGATTATATGGAAACTTACCCATGTAAGATACCCACAAAAATATCAAGCCTCTGTTCTTCAGTTCTCCGAAAGTGCATAGTCCCACCAACAGGCAGCGACTCAGCAGTGAACACAGTGAAGTGACAGAAGTACAAATGTCAGGAACATGGTGAAAGGAATCCATGGAGCACTTGGAGCTCTGCCTATTCTCACACCTGTGCACACCTGGGATCACTGCAGAGAGCCACCATGGCTGACAGACTGGTCTAACCGTTCCATAAAGTGAAGTATGTGAACTCCTCTGTGGGAACATCTGGAAGCAGCTTTTCACTGCTTTGAGAA